GTAAAAACACGACAATCAATTATCAAAAGGGCTCCAAGTGAAGAATAATGCAGACTAAAAATTCTTAGTAACTAAACAAACTTTGAGATTCCCTTTGAATGAAACTAAATTTATTATTATTGTGTCGTCGACGAAAGGGAAAAGTGTGGGGGTGGGTATGGTGGTGTTATACAACCAATTAAGGCAGTAGAGTTCTTGAAATTCCTAATATATATATATATGTATATATATATATATAGGCCTATATATTATATAAAATAAAATATATATATTATATAGGCCTATATATTATATAAAATAAAATATACGGTATATATATTATATAGGCCTATATATAGGCCTATCGGTTTTTAATTACAGGACAAGCTGTGATAATACATCACTCAATAAAGGACTTAAAGCTGTGAAATAAATAAGTATTAAATATATTTTTAACAGTATCCAACAGTGAACAATGCCACCATTTGCAAGACTGGATAATAAAATATTATTTATGTACTTTAATATAAAGGTCAAGCTATATCATTAATCATAATATAAAGTCTATTAATCAATGATTTTGAATAAAATGAACTATTTGACAACGAAAAATCATTTATTTATGATTTTAAGAAGGTAACAAAATTGTCACCTTTACTAAAACTGACGATTAAAAAGATTAAAGAAAGTGCATTTTTACGCAATTTATTTAGATCATCGAAACAAGTTTGACATAATGTGATATAAAAAAGAAATAATCCAGAGGACTTTTTTTGTTACATCGGATTATACAATAATATCTCCCATTGGCTATGTAGGGTCTCGAATGCTAATTGACTTACTACTATTCATTATATCTCTCATGACGTCACCTACAGATACAATATTCATTATAATCCCTCGAAGATAGAGATTAATAATCATCCCGATGGATACAGATTAATAATACATGTTTAATTGAGGAAATATTCCGTTAAACTTCTGCATAATTTTTGAATTAAAATTACAGTCTGATGACAGTTAAAATGCTGCGCGTAGAAATGTCTCTTAGCAACAAAGAATACAGTTGAAGTATATGAACTTCGATTCATCATCATTACAATAAGTGTAAAGGGGTATTCATCAATCTATTAGGGCTTTGTCCCGTTTAAGAACATTATTCAACGAAACATCAATCAATTCCACGGAACATTTTCTGCAAGGGGATGAATTCCAACCGACTGGAGTCGAGGTCAACTTTACAAACATTACAGTTCATTAAAACTTGAAGTTTTAATCAATAAATTTCGATCATATGAATTACTTGCTATATTATGCAAATATTATATTCATCTTCCAACTTTCCTAGCCTATTACCATACGAATTATAGTCTAAGTGTTCTTTAGTGTTACTCGTCGAAAGTAACTATGAAGAGTCGTGGTGAGGTGCTCTTAAATGTGGACGCAAGGGTCATAATTATGTAATTTCACTATACAGTGTGTCTGTTGCAAATAAAATAGTTATAATAAGAAAAATATTAATACAGACACTAAAAACACTACCGGTACTTTAAATAAATGATAACAATAATCATAAAAGCGAGACATATTTTCTTCTACGTTAACACAATGGTGTATTGTCTTATTACATTACAAATAACTTTTTTTTACACTGTTGCAAATGGCCGGAGAGGCCTAAATTCAGTCATTTAAAACTTGAATTGTGTCCACTGATCCCACAATTCGGTGAACGACAGTAATCCAATGAACTGCACATTACTTTCTCTTGAGGTATTCGGCTATACCTACCAAATATTCCGTTCACATCCGTCACCCATTTATTCTAAAAAAAAATCAATGTTTTTACAATTCTTTCTTGAGTGATCGGTGACAAAATGATGTCTGAGACATTTCTGATTTCTTAACTTTAGTCTTTGTATCATGAATTAAACTCTTATTAAGTTGTACGGTCATGATATCGACAATTTGCCAAAAGCGTGAATCAACGTTAATTGAAATCCCGCCACCAACGGTAGCTATAGGGCAGACTAGTCTCCCCTATGGCTGTGTGGCTTTCAGAAAAATATGATTTACTCTATTTACTTCATTAAACATTACACATCCCACAATATAAAGTAATGATATTGATAATAATAGAATTATATTGATATGAAATATTATATAATGATTGATATTATTAAATGTACATTGATATTCATATTATGTCTGTTGGTGGTAATAATAATAATCATTGTAATAAGAGTACGGTACGTTATTTGTCTTAAAGAAAATTAGTTACGTTGACAAAGCGCATTATATATTAATACTTTAAAAATGTAAATTAAAATATGCAATGGAAAATAAATTAATGCCGACAACTTTTATGTGATTGATTTAAAAGATTAACGATGATGACAATTGTAATGACGACGATAATTGGAGGTCTAATGATAAAAACGACGACGATCGGATGACTATGCAATAATTATAATAATTTTAAGTATTGCATTGTTTTTACTAAATGTTTATGTGCAGCAATAGACAAAACATATTTGAATACCGTACTCGCGCGAATAAGCGCCCCCTCATAAGATTTTCTTTTTAGCAAATCAATAATCCAATCGATCCTGGGACTGTGGTTGTTGGCATGATTTGAGCTGTAGTGTAGAAACACATTCTACTTCGGTCAATATCAAAATGAGGATATTTCTCTTGATGATGAGAGCAGCTCCGATCCCTGGACAGACAGTATATTTCAAACTTTACTCTTTTTACATATTTGTCTATGTCTAGTCTTACTCTTTTTTTTCTTTTTTCCGACCTTTAGCACATTCTCATCTGAGTTTTCAAGTTTTTCAAGTTTTCTCAACTACCATTACCCACCACCACTAATTGCATCTGCTATTTTGCTGTTATGTAATAAATATTCACGCATTCTTGTCATGTTCTCTGGACGATTGTCTTTTCTCTAACCACCATTCTTAATGTTCTTATAATCATTTTTCATTGAAAGTGCCTCTTAAATTTAATAATTTCCCATAAGAACTCCTCGATTTTCATCTATTTCCATAAGCGCCCCCTCAATTTCCACTCTGTTTTCATAAGCGCCCCGTTCAAATAAGCGCCCCTCAGAAAGTGCAAAAAACCATTTTAAGCGCCCGGGCGCTTATTCGCGCGAGTACGATATAGGTAAAATGTCATAGATGTATTATTATGCCTAGTAATGTAACCAAGACTCTAAATGCGAAGACGTCTTCAGTTGATATAGTTCTTTATTAAATTGTTCTGAGACCGCTGAGATGATTTTAATTCACCAGTTTCCATATAGCATCATATATTAACAATATTGACATAGTCCTAATCTATAAATTACTTTCAATAATTGTAAATGCTCGGTAATTTCGTTCATTATGATTTATTTAGAGTATATATTCTTTCAGAAAGTGTTTTAATATCATTTGTCGTTGAGGATGTCTTACCTGGCGATCGACTCCAATAGCTGGCCGGTAAGTTATATATTTCATCTTTATCAATTTCATTAACAAACTTTTTTACGACCTGTCGTAGCATTATTCGTTTGGCTCGCTCCAATTGGCTGTGACACAACGTATGTACATATTTTACGCGCGCGTAGATTGTAACGTGCAATGCACATGCGATTGACTGGTCATGGAGATCCACTTTAATTGATTTTTTCCTCTGTCTTGAAAATTTAAATATGAATATGATTATATGTTTCATATTAATCTAGCATGCGATGGTTATATGTAAATATAATTGCTTATGAATCGAGAAGCTAATCTGTTTCATGACGTCCATTTGCAACCTTCTTTGTAGGCCTATACGCTTCGAATTAGTCACCATCTCAAATAGATGCGGTACGAGTTGGCTAAGGAATTTGAGTACGGGGGTCTGCAAATCGCTGATATGTACACCTTTTACATATTGTAGTTGCTTGCCTCACACATGGAAGCGTTATCACAAATGAGGGAGTAACAATATTTCATTCTTAGTTTCTTTGCTTATTCAATCAATAAATGGATATTTGTGCAACCTTCTAGTTCTGATATGTGGTGGCATGAATATTTCTAGGTTTATTTACAAATATGACCGCTGGCAAAATCTGATAGTAGTAAAAGGATGTTTTATTATCTCATTTTAAAAGCAACGTCTTAGTAAGAAAATAGGTTCGGAGATGTGATGACGATACGAAATGTTAGAATAGAAAAATAAATTTAAGCAAATCACTCAGTTAATCATTCATTTTGTGAAGTATCCACAAATTAGAAACAATACATTGACACGGTCAAAAATGTTTCCAATCATTTATATTTTGATATGTAGGCCTATATATGTTTATATCATTTTGAAACATCTCTCACCACTGAGAAAGGACTAGTATTGTGCGAAAGCTCTGGTTCTATTTCTGATTGTTTACTTACTTTTTTTTTAGCTCTACCGAGATACGAAATACACATTGTTTCCCACAGCATTGTAGTTTTCAAGTCTTTGCCTTTTAATTTATGTATATATACCTTACACACACACACACACACACACACACACACACACCCATAATACCGTAAATCGTATATAAAAAGATGATTTTTTCCCACGAGCACACCCACACCCACACACACACACACCCACACCCATATATATATATATATATATATATATATGTATGCCTATAATATATATAATAACATATGTTATGTTATATATTTATAAATTTATTACTTACAAAAATATTTAACTTACGTCGATCTAAAATTTAAAAAAAGTGATATATTTAGCGTACCAATAATATCGATTTTAGATCATTAAATTCTAAGAATTATCATTTCTATAACCATTCAATATAAATAAAATGATAGAAAATAATTACGTACAAAAAGATTCAAGTCATTATTTAAACGTACCGGCGTTTTCATAGTGATAACATTCTTATAAAATCATATACTGAAACATATACGAATTCGATTGTATCAAAACACTGACCCTATCAAAAATTCAAGAACGTTATGCAAATAAAACATTTCCCTTCTGAGATATCTGTGCATAAGCGTATGCCACCAGCGATGCGTCCGTTCTTGAAGTCCTTAAACTGTTTATGCAAATAGTGTTTCACTTACGAATATGTCGCCCGTAGCTCATGTTATCATAGAAAGAAGTATCATCAGCGAATTATTGAATACTAATGTGATGTGCGAGGGTCTTTTTCTCTAACTGTTATTTTGTATTCAAACAGTAGTGCACCTTTTCAAAATATATATTTTGCTGATGAACAAAAAGCATGTTGTTTTCTAAACAACAGATATGGAAGCTGTGAGGATCTTTCTCTGTAATTAATATTCACACAATTGTATACCTTTCAAAATATCTATTTATTTGCCACGGGTTATTAAGACAACATTAAATCATGGAAGTTATATTCATGTTTTGTATGCAAACACTCGTCTACCCATTTAGAACATTTATCTATTCGAAAACGAGCACCATTACAATTTCTGGACGACAAAGTTGTACAGTAGTTTTTTGTCAATTTTTTAATGAGCCCTTTTATTGAACTGCATTATACCTGTCTCTTATACACATCTAGATGTGTATAAGAGACAGATATATATATATGCATACATAAATATATACATATATATATACATACATATTATACATACATATACATACATATATATATATATATATATATATATATATATATACGCCTACACTATGTAATAATGTATTTATAATGTATACAATGGTGCTTGTTTGAATGTATATGTTTATGTTATTTAAAATTTTATTTTATTGTTTTATAAATTGTGATTAATAAAACGTGTTAATATTTTTAAATGTGAATGAAAAATCAGTGTCTTTTAAGTTGGTGATAGTATATCGTCATTCTTATAAGCATGGCCTCATGTTAAGTGTGGCCCATTAATCACGAGTTGAGAACTTAAGAGGCTTAATGCTTGGTTAGTATCTTAATGTTAGAAAGCGATTCAGAGTTTCCCCATTTTTCATTCATTCATTTTATTCATTTGTTCGCTAGTTCGTTTGGTCGTTCGTTCTTGTATTCTTTCAGTCGTTCGTTCGTTCATTCTTTCGTCGGTCAGTCAGTCAGTCTGTCCAGCCATCCATCTATCCATCCATACATCCATCCATCCATCCATCCATCCATCCATCCATCCGTTTGTCTGTTCGTTCGTTCATTCATTCGTTCATGCGTTCTTTCGTTCGTCCTATCGTTTGATCGTTCGTTTAATCGTTCATTCATTCATTCATTAATTCGTTCATTCATTAATTCTATTCATTTTCCCCTTAATATACTTTTTTGAGTTATTAGATTTTGTGGACAATTCTGCAAAGGTTAGTACCCTTAAATCTTGTATATTATCCTCCATTATAACTATTATTTCACTGTAAGCCTATTTGAATTTGATATTACCAGCTTCGTAAAACAAACGAACGATAATTGGATGGTCTTAGAATGTGTTTGGATCCAATTGTTGTTGATACGTTTTCTCAAATGACTATTTATCATCTATAGTTATTACGTAAGTTACTACATCTGTAAGTGAACCTAATCGATGGCAACTCATGGACTAATGAAGTTATTTTGTTCAAAAATAATAATGAGTATATGACTTATCCTAAATGCTCAAATAAGCGCCGCTCGCGAATAAGTGCGGCACCAAACGTTATTTTTTTTTTGCTAAAAGTTCCGCTCTCGAATCGAGAGTGTATTACCCTGTGTGTAAATAAAACACTTGGAGAAACAGGGTTTTAAACAGGGTTTTATACAGTGTTAAAATCAATAAATAACACAATGAAGACACAAGCATTTCTTTGTAAATGTTTATTTACGATGACGTAAGACCTATGATAGGCCTACCAAATTACGAGAATACGTGAGATAGGTAACATGGGAACTGGCATAAAAAGCGTCACGCCCCCGGCCACGCCAATATTTTTTTTCCCTTTTTAAAAAAAAATAAAAGTCGATCTCGAATACGCACCGCACTGAAGCCTCCAAAATTGTTACAAGCACCGCGGCGCTTATTCTAGCATTTACGGTACGCGTTTAATCTCGCTAAATACAAACAGAAACGGATAGTAATACTCATTGTGGAAAAAACATTTCCATCTCAGATATTTCCAAAATCTTCAAACATAGTGCATTTCTTAAAATATATAAACGCTTCAAGATGCACGAAAACAAAACAATTAAACATTCAATGTCTACACAGGCCTTACTGTAAATAATACAGCCACTAAAAGACAAAATTGTACAAACGACTCATTTGCATATTATGTTACTTGCTTATGTGAGTCATGAATAGGAGTTGGTTGCCTAGTATGTGTTGTACTCCATCATTGTCACACTGTCTATTTATCACGATCTGTTTTAAATGAATTATTCAGGTTTTGTTACAAATCCATATTGAGTGAAAAAAAGTTGTGCTTTGTCGTTTGCTTAAAAAAAAGAAAATAATTTTACCATTTCCTCGAGTTTTGTTCGATTGAATAATTTGTTGGTAATTGACATGGCGACTTTGAGACTAACCGAGTACACGGAAGGGGTAAGCGATACGGTGCGCGTTATCGTCTCAATCACATCATATTCCAGTAGAAACCTAGGCTCACCGAGCCTACGTATCAGAATTAGAACAAATTTACATTTGTCTAGGTGTCTGGTGACCTATATACGACTAAGTATGTTAAATACGCGTTTTATTTATATTTGATATTTATAGTCTTACAAACAAACAAATCTATATATCACAAAATTCAGACAAAAACAAGACATTTGGCTGAAATTATGGGATATAAGAGGAAATACATAGGCCTAGATACACATTAATAGGAATAATAATTAATAACAATAATAATAATTAATAACAATAATAATGATAATAAGTATTTATTATTTTTATTGTAGTAATATTGATAATAACCTGGTACCCAATGAGCACAGGCCAATTGTCTTTCTCTTTCCTAACCAACAACTTGGTTTCATTTAACCAAGGTTCCAATACAGTTTTTATAGTCTTTGAACAAAATAATTGCTGGAGTTATGAGCAGGTGAAGCAGAAAAAAAAATATTTTAATGAGACCATGTGAGAGATATATTTTGATATAATCCACGTTTCTAGATTGTTTTAACCAACTGATTTTGCCCTAAGCGTTAATGCTCACCTATTTAAAGCGATATCGCATGACCTCTCCTGTAATTTTTGATTCGTTCACTATTAAATAATCATTTTTTTTACGCCTGTTTATTTAACAATTTAGCTCTCCGTCATTATGATTGGCTCTTAAGCCGCGCGTACCCTTATTCAAACCTATGCGCAGTGCTGACGTAACAGGAGTGTACGGGCTGGTTGTGAAACAATCGCTTTAAGCAAGTAGGTCTTTGACCGTCCATATCCCAGTGTTTTGTGTTATTTCAGATCTTTAATCCAATCAATGCGTTGGTGAGGTTGCACTTGAGAAAATTCGTTGCCGATCGATTGAGGGGTGAGGTATCGATGCAAATCGATGAAAATTATTATAAACAAAATAATGCCATAGAGATTTACTGGGATACTGATACGAGATTTGCCGATTAGGTCCGAATGATAAATTGGTTTGCATAATCTCGATAAACGAACTTAGGAACAGCATGTATCTTAATGTAGCGTTCAAATAGTTGAAGGATAACACTAGTAAAAAGCGATGAGGAAAATCCAAAGAAGAAAATACATTTATAAATATCGGAAGAATACAGTCTGTTAAATTAAACTTGAAATACAATTTGTTATATTATGTCAAGTTACGCAATTTCAACGAATTTTAAGTTCCTATAAAATTAGTCTCAACATTCAAAATTAGTTTATATTAACACGTACCGTAATTTATTGTTTAACTTTAGTTTACTTTGTTATGTTTGGAGTTCAGAAGGTCTTTCGTATTAAATATAAGAGGAAATAGAGTTATTCAAAGATGTTTCCTGCCTATGATAATTCATTCAATATTGTAGCCCTTTCTAATTGCTGCAGTCCTCTATAGATTTGTAACGCTTCATCCCCCCGCAGCAGGTGTCTAGTCTTGCGTAAAAACGACTTTACAGCTAGAAGGAAAGCGGTGTGTACGGCCTAGCCTAGGGCCGGATGAACGCAACAAAACTCGCGTTATTGCACTATTGTAGTAATGTTATTATGAAATGATAAATCCGTTAATATAACAGTGAGTTAAAGCCGCTCTATAATTCATTACCTGGAGCTAGGTAGTTCAAACTGTTATTACGGCGAACCTTTAGCATCTTAATCAATTGGTTTAGTGTAAAGGCGACATGTAATGTCGCACTCTGTTTGGTAACAAACGTATTTTCTCACACCATATGATATTGTCTATTCTCACCATATCATTGTCGCGTTTTAGCGAGGTAACAAAGCGATTGATTTGATTA